AACTAACTTATCTGTGAAGACCTTTATGTCTTCATTTTCATACTCCCTTCGCAACGTTTGAAGTCGAATCAAACAGACTTGAGGAGAACCTTGATACTCTGCCTTCAATGCATCCCAAGCCTCTTTAGATGTTGTTGCTGCTGCAATCCGTGAGAAAATATTATCCGATACGGCAGTTTGCAAAATTTACAGAGCCAACATATTGTTCACCATTGCTTCTTCTCTAAGCAATCTTACCCTTGATGTCTCAGGGGTTTCATCTACTTGTGTTGGTTGGGCTCCCACGGCTTCTTCAACCACAGACCATAACTTTCTGGTCTTGAGAATGGTTTTCATCTTAAAGCTCCCGAAGTCATACTTCTCCCCATCAAATATGGGAATCACTTGATGTTCATTCTGCATCGTTTGTGTCCTTCCAATAAATCGTATGCCAAAATCCCCTAGCCTCTTTTTCTCCACGCCAAGTGTTTCTCTTACTAGTAATTTTTTTTGTTTTCCTCTCAACCGTAAAGCTCTGATACCATGTTAATCTTTTACCAACCGCTTGTGTTACAGATAGATCGCAGTGTGTTACACACGAATACGGGAGAAAGCATAAGATGGAATTATTCCAGAAAGTTTCGACTGAATTAACTTGTCTGAAATTACTTAGATATTATTTAGATTCTATGATATGGTTTACAACAAATGATTGACCTTTATATAGAGATCGAATCATTGCAAATATAGAGATACAACTCTTCATACAAAGGACACAATCATGAAGAGTTATAACTCTTTGTATAATAACTAACTAATGTGAATATATTAAGGAGAGATTAGATTATATAGTTCAACAGATATTAGTGTTCATAGGCATTAAGGATGGACTCTATAAAACATTCTCTTCCCTTAGAATCATCGTAAATAGGTTCATCATCATAGATGCTGAAAACCGGTGTATCTTAGGTCTCATTTTCATTGTAGAGGTCTTCTGCCCTTTGATAAAAGGGGCCTGATTGATCGTTGTCTATCCACTGGTGCAGATCTCCGTAACTCGTACTTGAGACTTCTTCATAGTTAACGTAGAAAGCATACTCGTCATCATATACGTCAAAAACAGATTCACCCAAAATCTCAATCTCGTAGTATGGCTTTTCTTCATGAAAAACAGATCTGGTTGTGATTTACTGCTCCTTTGATCCATTGAGACAAGAAAGTTGATTTTTTCTTATAAAAAAAAAAAAGAAAAAAAAATCCGGATAGGTTCGTGCTTGCTCTGATACCAAACTGGCGCAACGTCAAGTTGGAAAGGCTCGAAGAATGTTGATTACAAGAGGAATAGCCGTTCGACGAGGACTCAATGATCGTTGATTCCCAAGAATGGCCGTTTGAACGAGGGTTCTTAATAATAGTTGAATCTAAAGAATACCAAGACAATGAAGAAGAACAAAGTTGTAGGGTTTTTACTATTCAATATATCAATGATCTTTACAAACTTTAGACGAAGCTATCTATACCATCCTAATGAAATCGTGACCGTATCTCCTACATTCTAGTCTACACGATTTGTACTTATCTTTCTAAGTAATACAATAATTAAATAAAATAGAAACTTGATGAACACTTAATCTCCGTAACGTGTTTCGTATCAAGCCCACGGCACATAGTACATGCATGCGCTGGATCACGATGGATTGATATGATTGAACATCATCATTAAAATCAAAACATTAATCATTGAGTAATTGAGGGTAAGCGTTAAAAATACGGTTAGGATCAGATAGCGGTGCTTGGAAGAGTCGAACGACATAGACGATGGAAGAAAAGGTTTTTAGTCAATGGACTTTTTGTCTTATTTTGGATAGGATTTGAATTTTGAGAACAACTTTCGCTATGAACAGAGTAACCTATGTTCTGAACGGGCCTCAAATTATCTTAAAGCCCAAAAAATGAATAAAAACCTGGTAATTCGCCCACCATAAAAGATATGTAAAATACACTACGGTCCATAAATAATATCAAAATTAGATTTTTTTAGGGAGACATGTCATTTCCTCCCTGTTGGAAACAAGCCAACTTAATTATAAGACTAGATATGGGCCCGTGCATTATACGGGTTTTATTTGTTGCTTTAATATTTATAAAATATATTAAAATAATAATTCATGTAATAGTTTAAGAGTTTGTTTTGCATATGTTGTGTGAGATTTATTTTAGAAATTAAGAATTTGTTTCCCATAAAATTTCGGTTAGTATTTATTTTTATCAACACAGATTTTATTTGATGTTTTAGTTTTACAAATAACATAAAATAATAAATTATTTTATATTTTAGAATTATTTTTGTATATGTTGTGTGAGATATTTCAGAATTTAAAATTTGTTTACCCATATAAATTTTTGTTAATATTTGTTTTTAATAATCATGGCACATAAGTGAATTGTTTTTAACTTTATACTTAAGGTCAGAGAAAATACCCATACCTAAAAATTTAAACCAAATCTAATTCAAATTAAGAATTAAAGTGAAAAAATTGAAAGTTAAATAAGGCCAATCAAGTTAATAACAATATCATACACATATCATACACTTGTTATATACCAATTCAATGTTTGTTTTATTTGACGTTAAATATGTTATTCTTATTGTTTAAATATATTCTGATGTTTATTGGTCATTTTAGTGAAATTTACTTTAGTGAAATTTACTGTCACTTTAAGATTTTTTTTTTAACTTTTAAGAGTTTATGATCATCAATATTTTTTGGTTATGGGTTTTTAAATTTTTAAATTTTTAATTATTTAACCATAGAAATAATTTTATCATCACTTTTATCATGTAATTAGTGATAAAAACCATCAATACATATATCTTATAGCCACCATAATTTTTAAATTACTTTAGTAGTAAAAATCATTTTCATCATCTTACATAAATAATTATCTTACAAATATTTTTTTTGTATATGATTTGAAAAGTGGAAAACCACTATTAAACATTATTTCATAATTTTCTTATGTTCAAGATTTTAGAACGCACAATTACTATAAAAGAGTTTTTAATTATCTTTTCTTGAAGATTTTGGAAAAGGAAAATTAAAATAAAATAAAAATATTTTGCAATTTTTTTTGTTAAACTTTTTTAGAAACATGGTTTAGAAAACTTGCTATTCATTTTTTAAGAAAATTAATTTTAGTAGTAGAAATCATTTTCATCATCTTCGTATATATATATTTTTAATCATGATATATTTTAACGTATATAAAATTGTTAAAAGAGAAATTATTATCAAATAATCTTTTTAAGATTTTAGAAAGTGAAAATTTTTAATAAATAAATTATTTTACAATTATTTTTTTTTGGTCAGGGTTTGTAAAAAACGAAAAACTACAATTAAACACTCTTTACTTTTTGTTTACTTTTAAACCATATTTAAAATTATTATTTTCAAAATTTGTTTTTATGATTTTAAATCTTTTTCTTTAGGATTTGTAAAAGGAAAGCTACAGTTAAAAACGTTTATTTTTTAAAAAAATTTTGTTTACAAAATGAAATTTGTAATAAATCAATTATTTTACGAATATTTTTTTTGTGTAGGGTTTGTAAAAAAAAAGAAAACTACAGTTAAACACTCTTTACTTTTTTTTTACTTTTAAATAATATTTAAAATTATTATTTTCAAAATGCATATTTATGATTTTAAAATTTTTCTTTAGGATTTGTAAAAGGAAAACTACGGTTAAAAACGTTTAACTTTCTTTTAATTTAAAATAAAATAAAATTAATATCTTCAATATCATTTTTTATTATCTTAGTATATATATTTGTAATCATAAGATATTTTAATTACATCTTATTACTATTAGATAATATTTCTAAATTAGTTTTTAACAAAACTCGTTTTTGTCATTATCTAAATAATATATTAAAAGGAAAAGTATTATCAAAGCTTCTTTTGGAAATATCTTTTATTGAGGATTTAAAATGGAAAATTACTATTACATAATATTTTTAAATTATTTTTTTAAGAAAATTTGTTTTTGTCATTATATAAATAATTAAATTTGTATAGATATTAATTATGAAATAATTTAAAACATGTCACAATCTTAAATAATATAATTTCCATGTGTCACAATCTTGTTAATTAGTAACTTTGAAGAACCAAACTTTATATAATAAGATATAATAAAAATGTAAAATCATGATTATTACAAAAAAAAAATATTAAAACAAATATTTTAGAGAAATTGGTTCAAATATTATAACTTGCTACCATTTTTCAAAAATACATTCAGTCAGAAATACTCTAATATTTGAGTTTATAATTTAGTGACTATTGATTAGGTTTTAGTACTAGCCTACTAGGAGGATACAGTTGACTTTATAAATTTATGTTAGATATTTTATGAATTACTATTAAGTATTACTAAATTACTTAAGACGAATCACAAACTAAAAGTATATGAAAATAGCTATTTTTATAAGTAAATTTGAAAAATAATCTTCGGTAAACCTAAAATCTACTAAATATAAAGTAAAGGTATTTTAAGCAGTTTTTAATCCTTTTTTTTTTTTATGGAATATCAATTTTTTTGATCAAGATGGAAAAACTTTACAAGCTATTTATATATTGTTTTGTTTCAATGAATAAAAGAATAAGAAACTCTAATGTGGATGAACTTAAACCATCTCCTAAGCAATCCCTCAAGCTTGTTTGCCCCTATACTTGAGAGAAGAGATGCGGTTTTTGATTACCTTCCCAATAGCCTTACTCGTCGCTTCCACTAATGCACACAATCCTCCATGCCTCCTTGAATTCCTCTTCTTCCAAAGAATGTAAATAGATGTCTGGAAAGCTAGCTTCAAGAGAATAGTGTCCATTTTGCTTTGGTTAGAGTGAAGCA